GACTTGTGCCCCCATTGCACTAATCTTTCAGATTGGTTCAGCCTAATGAAAGCCAACAACATATAAAGCAAAACTGATACTCATCGTCCATCTCTCATCAGCTTTCGTTCACTCTGCAAGTCCTGGTGTAACCCAGCAGAATTCTCAGAAAGCACCAGCAGCTGCCTCCTGCGGCCACTTCCAACTTTTAATGCTCCTCTTGCGGAAGGAAGTAATTGATAAAGATCTAGTCACTAAGAAGCCTTTATTTGCTCATAGAAAGTATGGAAAGAGTTGGTCTGATATTTTCCCTTCCGAGTACCATGGATTCAGTTCCTCAACACAGCAGACTCCTATTTCTCTTAGCTTTTCTTTTGTTGTGTTTATAAATGGCAAAACGTGATAGAAATTTGCACCAGCAGTTCTTGGACTATTTTAAATTCATTACTTAGTGTGACTTACAAATTCACTTCACTCCTATGACCAGAAAAAGTTCTTCATTTCTGATGTCTTAATATTTTTTCAAAAATATAGGTGGGTCTTATTAAATACAAGGCAAACGAAAACTATCAAGTGTAATTTGATAGAAAATATCCTTATATCCCCCCCCTTTTCTTTTTTTGCAGTTTAAATTATAAATATTGCTGCTGGGGGGAAAAAGAATCATTTCTCTCTTTGCTGCATAGAAATAGGTCAAGTAATTTAAGCCAGTCCATTGCAATTATAATTCTGACATCGCCATTGTTCCCTCTGTTCTGGGGGGAAATGACAAGAGAGCCCGTGGTACCAGGGGTTCATTGGCTGAGGCATTTGATGTGTTCCTATTGTTCTCTGGCAAAGGCTTAGCCTCCACCTGCCTGGGCGCTCTGATTCTGGTGATAGTGATGCAGCCCAAGATGACAAACACCATCCCTCAAGCTCTGCCACACACCTCCTTTGTGCCAGCAAAACAATACCATTGGAAAGGGGAAGACTAGCCAATGGCTTGGGTCCTAAATTCCTTGAAATCTAAATGTATTTATTGTGGGGTTGGGGGCGATGTTATCTGCCAGGTTTATTTTAAAGTCGATTTTACTGACTTCATTAGACAGCAGAGCACTCCTGCTCATTAAACATCCTGTGGTCCTTTTCCCAAGATTAGAGCTGGTGGCTTGGTCACATTCCAACGTGGATAATTACGTTCTGCATTCCTGGATATTTTCCTCACCTTTCCAACCTCATATCACCACGTGCATTGTTATTCAGACTTACTACAAATCAGCAGTCCTGTTGTGGGGTACAAGTGTTGGCGAGCCCCATGTGGTTGACAGGCTAAAGCATTGGCCCAAACCACTGCTGGTTATACTTTCAAAAAGAAAACCCCTTAGCCAATGCATATTTTCAAATATGAGGCAAATCTCAATTATGCATGCTTAATCATAGGCTAAGATCTTTGGTAAGTAAAATAACTCTTATTTTCACAAAGGGTGTTTATTCTGGAATCTTTGATAAAATACTTTTTTGCTGAAGTATATGTTGTTTACTTCAAGGGGGAAAAAATGGAAATCTTCAGAAATGGGAAAAAACAAACAATACAACAACAAAAACCTCTTGAGGAAACTGCTTTCCTTTGACCTTCTAAATATATTCCACAAGGGGGCGAAAACACCTAATGGTCCAGAAGTGCAAAGTTTATATTTCAAAGCCAGCCACCCATAATAGATTAGTGGATTAATATTTTGCTCTAAAGGATCTGGCCTTTAATGTTGACATCAATTTATAGCCATCCCGGGCGTTTACAGTAGTAAAAGTCACGGAGACCATAAACTTCACAATAGATGTCAGCCTTCTGCTACGAGTGCTCTAGCCTAGCACCCCATAAACAGCGGTGATTAGGTAACTGTTCTTCAAAGCCCCATCCATAGCACTAACGTCTTTATCAGCTCCAGCAAAGATACCACTCTGCCACCAAGATTTTATCAGGCACAAGGCAGAGGGACACGTTTTTATGAATGTGGACTTATTTTTTCTGACATGTATCTATGAGATTGTGCTGTCTGTCGCTTATCATTGATCTCTTCTGGAAAATCAAGCATGGAGTGTCTATTTGTGGGCAAAGCTTAAAGAACAGACGCGCTCTTGTGCCATATTAGAACTTTTTGACAAACAGCCAAGGTACAGAGGTCAAATTTCCCCATATGCTATAAGCAACTTAGTAGGAAGCAAGATCACAAAAGGTTTTGCAAATGTCTGCCAGTAGCCGGGTGATCTAGGTCACTGTACAGGTTTCATTAATCAGGTTGTTCAAACAAGGAGTTATTTTTCTCTGCTTGAGAGACCTGCAGATATCACATAGAATCTACTTGGTTGTTGATCAAGAGAAGAGTTTTACTGAAATAGAGATGATTCAAGTGAATGGGAAAGGGGGGTGGTATTTGTATTTGTACTGAAGGCAAATTGTGCTTTTCGTCCAGCTCCTCTGAGCCCTCTGTTCTGGCAGGGATGGGCCCCAGATCTAATAATAGCTCCCTGGGCTCTGCATCTCCACATACGTGTCCCTGCGTTTGCGCAGCAGGAGGAATTTGGTGACAGAGCAGGTGTCATGGCTTATTTCCTGGCCGAATAAATGGTAAAGGATTGGTGGCAAGACGATTCTTAGGTTTCTTTCTTTATACAGAAAAACAATGCCTCCAATAGCTTTCCTTTTTTTTCCTGGCACAAGTGAAAAAGAACTGGAGTTGCTGTATTAATATGTATGCAAACATACTTTTCCACTTGAGCCTCTGCAAGAGAGGAGGTGGGGGGAGGGAAGAAAGGGCAAGAAAAAAGGAAAGAAAAACTTACTGTGAAAATGCTTAGCAGGGAAGATTTACTGCTGATTGCAGATTTAGTATTGACATGTCTTAGCTGAGGAAAACTTGAGCTTTAACTATTAATGTGGAAATCTGGATCAGCTTTTATATTGGGGCGAAAGAGTTTTGGATGATGGAGTGCATTCTCAGAGAAGTTATTTATTTAGGCCATAATTTTTAATAAGAAAGGGTCAATTATAGAAATATAAAAAACCCAGTAGAGTGCACATCTTAATGTCACATGGCCTGCCTTGGAAATAGAATCAGGGAATGTAGGTGATCTGAATTATACTTAATCAGCTTTTAACCAGACTCCCTGCAATTAACACTTGTGTATACCCACTTCTCCTGATTTATTATGAAAAGGGGACTGAAGATGGGAATCTGAGTCTAAATGAAAGGCTCTCTTAAAGCGTTATTTGTAGCTATGTCCTCACCCTACGCTTCTTTACCCCTTGAGTAGGTTAAATACAGAAGTCTGTATTTTTCTTGAATGTAGGTGTGTTGCTCTTACAAACCTGTCATGAAACATGAAAGGGAAAACAAACTAAAATTCCTTCTCTTTCCACCTGGGATAACTTGAGATTTTTAACAATATTACTTTTTCCTTAATTATATAAGGCAAAACCTGACACCCACTTAACGGTGGTTCTGCTCGCCTTGATGAACTCTTCTATATAAAATTAAAATGATCTTATCCTTATGTGCTTTGCACCCAGCCCATGCAACCCAAGAATCTCAGAATTCTGGAAAACAGGGCATGCCTTGCAGGGAACATCTTGTGAAGATTGTAATTTGACCTTTAAATCAACCTCAGCTTGGCTAAGCAAATTTTAAATATTATAGGAAAACAAAATAGACCGCCTCCAGGTGGAACTCCACCCCCTCTTTGCCTTAGAACTGAAAACCAGTCAGAAGCTATTTCAGAGATTAAGCTAGAAAATGTGTGCCTATCCTTAGCACTTTTGCTGAGAAATAAAATTCGTCACTGGAGATAAAGGTGGATTTATATTTAATGCCACCCCCATCCATCACTCAGTGTATTATTCCAGTTGAATCAGGTGTAACTAGAAACACTTGATTGCCCCTCCCCCTCCCACCCAGTGAAAGAGAGACTGTTTAGTATTGCAAACCTTTCCAACTCTGGAGTACACTTGGATGTGATGGCAATTAAGGGGGAAAAAAGCACTTTGACAACTTTGCAGCTTTTGATTAAACCACACCAAGAGGCATGTTTCAATGATAACAATGAAGCATTATGCCAATTATGTTAAATCCTGCTCTCCGCTTAAGCTCATCATGACCTGTTTCAGTGTCCTGTAATTTATCCTTTGGAATGCTTACTCTCATCAATACAGTGTTCAACTTAAAGACAGGAAAGAAGGAAAAAAAAAAAAAAAAGCCACCAAAGGGAACTACTCCCCCTCCCCCGAAATGACTTCTAGCAAACAAGTATTTCTTAACTTTTTATTGACATTGGCAAATTAAAATAGAATAAATTAACAAGTATTTTTTCAAAAAAATGTTTTGTACAAAAATACTGTCAAAATTTCCTAAAAAGCTTTCAACACAGTAGTATCTTTTCATGTACTGAATATAACTATTAGCACAGTGTCAAAAATGTTGAAGACAGAAACAAAATAAAAATCTGTGAAATGTTTGCCACTGACGACATTCCACACCCTATTATTTTCTGTACATACAGGGGAGAGGGGACAGCCAACTTGAAAGTGAACAGTATGACTTTTCCTGATCCAGAACGGTTTGGCCCACATCTGTTTAATCTTCCAGTTTAGCATATTTTAAAAATTAGTCTGTACTCAAATGCATAGTTAAAAAAATGAAGCGAGATGGCAGAGTTTGTGCAGTAACATCTGCCCTTCAAAGTTCATGCAACCAACTAATGCAATTTTTCCTTTCACTCGAAATCTGAATGCAGTTCAGTCATTTGAAACCATCTACAAAATCCACAAGATTAAGCAGTTTGCCAAGATTAATATCTAAACAGTTGAGCACTGGAGAAAGTGAAGAAATAAGGAGTAAAAACAAACAACGAAAAAGACCAAGTTAGCTAGGGATTTCAACTACATAAGGGAGGCTGAATGTCAAGGCTACAAAAACGAAACAAAAACAGAAAAAAAAAAGTGGCAGCAATTTTTTTTAAAAAAACCAATTTGTACAAGTTTATAGTTTACTTTGTTTCCAGGTTCTCAAACCTTTCAAGATCTGAAAAGTGAGATACTGTGTCTAAGGGAATGGGGTTTTTTTTGTTTGTTTTTTGTTTTGTTTTGCTTTTTTTTGTTTGTTTTCTTTTAATTCACACCGATAGTTGGGGGGTTGATTTCTTTCGCAGGGGTGTGTGTGGGGATGGTGTCCCCCGCCCCCCCCCCTCCCGCTCGAGTCAACAGCTTACTCTGCTGGGCTGCTGTTTGCACACGAAGTCCGTCATGAAATCAAACTCGTTCTGCCCCAGCCAGAGTTCGGGCAGCTCCTTGATGCGGTCCAAACCCATTTCTATCACTAAGGACATAAGCACTTCCTCGTCGATGAAATCAGTGTCTATGACATTGGGCGGCAGCATTGCCGCGGGGACGTGGGCCACGGAGGCGGGCATGTTGCTGCCGCCGCCGCCGCCGCCGCTGCTGCCGCCGCTGCCGCTGCCGCCCGCGCCGCCGCCCGAGGTGCCGCCCGAGCCGCCGGCGCTGCCGCTGCCGCCCGCGCCGCCCGCGCCCGCGCTGCCGCCGCTGTGCTTGGGGTTGCAATCTCGGAAGTGCTGGTTCGTCCCGTTCATCTGGTGGCCTGCAGCAGGGTGCAAGTCCGGCATGTAGTGGTTGTGCGGGTAGGGGTGATGGTTGAAATACTGGTTGTTGAGCTTCTGCAGCTGCATGCTGGCCGGCAGGGAGCCTCCCTGGCTGGCCACCGGGGGGCCCATGAACTGGGAGTTGTTAAACCTGGCCGCCGGGGCCAGCGCGCTCGGGGGGTGCCCTCCGTTCACAGTCCCTGGCCCCATGGCGTGCCTGATGCCGCTCGTGGCGTTCATGGTGCCCGCGCCGTAGTGTATGTGCTCGCCCATGAGGGCGTTGAAGGCGTGCTGGGGCTGCTGCTGCTGCTGGTGGTGATGGGGGCTCGGGAACTGCCCCATGCCCATGCGATGGGCAGGGTGGTGGTGCAGCCCGTTGGTGCCGTCGGGGAAGCGCCCGTGGTTCATGGCCATCATATGGTCTGCCATGTCCAGTCCTGAAAGGGAAAAGGGCCGGCGGGTGAGACCTGCGCCACACGTGTCGCCCACCACGGCGCGCCCCGCTTCGCCTGCGAGCCGCCGCCCCCGGGGCCCCCACGAGTAGCCGATCGGTGCACCCGGGCTCCGGCGCCCTCTGCGGACCTGCCACCCTCGGCAGAGCCCGGCGCTGCGCAAACGGCTCCTCCCGCTGCGGCCGGGCCGGGGGGCCCCCCGAGCCCCCACCGCCCTCTGCCCCCCGAAGTGGCCGAATAAAGGAAGTGCCCCGCAGCCCTGCCGCCAACTTCGGGCTCGAAAGCAGTCCTCGCCGTCCTGTTGTTGCACATCCTGTTGTTATTCCCCAGCTCCGCCTCGCGCTCTTCCTCCGGGCAAACCCTGCCCTCGGAGGCCGGCGCTGGCAGGAGCCCCAGCCCGCTCCGCCCGCCGCGCTCACCTTCCGTCTCTGCGATTTCTGCTCCGAACACCGAGGGCGGGATCGCGCGGTCCAGGACCGGCTCAGCAGCACATAGAGGGGAGCTCCCGGGCGTGCGGGGCGCTCGCTGCTCGCGGAGTGGGGCGCCGAGGTTCCGCCGCGGCCGCTGGGGCAGACTCGGAGCCTTTCCCTTTTATTTCCCCCTGCGCTGCCCTCACAGCTCGGCAGGACCGCCCGGCAGCTGCCAACAATGAGCTGTGTTTCTTCGGGCTTTGGCCACAGTTAATATAAGGGATTCAGGAAGGGCGGAGCGAGAGCCTCCGGGGGGCAGCGGGAAGACGCGGGCGCTGGATTCCCGGGCACCCTGGACCGGGTCCGGCCGCACGTGCGCAGAGGCTACCGGCCCAGGCGCCGCCCCGCCGGCCGGGGAGGGGAAAAAAAAAAAAAAAAAGCCTCCCTAGCTCCCCGGGCCCTAGTGGAGGCAGCGCCTCCTCGGAGAACACATCGCCCTTCTCGGGGCGGATCTGCCCATCCCCGGGCCTCCCACCCCGCTCACCGAAGCGACCCGGCCTATCCTGCACGGGAAGGGGGGCTCGCTCCGCGCCCCTGCTCTGCCCCCCGCCCTGCCCCAAGCGGCCCTTCTCCAAGGGTTCCCAAGAATGGCCGTGCTTCCCCGACTTGGCTTTTAAAGCCCCCGGCAGATAATGCCCTGTCCGAGCGCGCGCTTTCCCGGGCCGCGCCTTTCTGTTTTCAGAGAGGGCAGTTAGTTTTAATCTGCGTGTAGGTAAATCCCCCACCCCGACGACCCCCGCCTCCCCACCCCCCAACTCCTTTCAAGGGCGAGCGGCCCGCGGGCGGGGAGCCGCAGAGGCTGCAGGTGGAGCGAGCGCGCTCGCGGGCTTGGCAGTCCCAGCTCCCGCGCCGGGAGTCCGGGCCGCGCTTTGGAGCCTGCTCTCCGCTCCTGGGATACGTGTGCTTCTGCTAAGTTTGCGTTTGCAGCTCTTGGTAGCTTTGGCATCCGAGCTGAGGCGTCTCTGCTCTGTAAACAAACTCAGCGATCCTAGTCCCCAGATCCACCTTTTTGCACATACACAGTTCCTCGCTTCTGCTGTTGCCCTTGATCCGGGAGGTGGGGTGTGTGTGTGTGTGTGTGTGTGTGCAAACTCGCACAAGCTTCCCTCCGGGCTCTGCCTGACGGTTTAGGGTTGATTTAGGAGAAGACTGGTTTGTAATTAAGAAATTCGAGGGCCGAGTAAGACTGCTGTTGCTGGAAGAGGCAAACGAAGAGATACCACTACGGCCATGGCTTTGCACATCAAGTGGTTCTGGGGTGGACGCGTAGCGGCACGTCCCGTACGGCCCCCTGCGCGCGCACACCGCCGGCGCGCCTGCTTTCCCTCGGAATTGTGCAGTGGGGCAATAAGCGAGAATAACAACCCAGCTTCCAGAACGCGGCACCGCGCGCCCCATCGCCCACTGGGCTCGCTGACTTGCAAATAAAACCCCCGCGGCCGGTCGGGGCGCCTGCCCAGCCGCAGGCGCTCTCGCTTTCCCGACGGGGAGGACGAGCCGTCTCCCCGGCACCGGAGTGAGGCCGCTCCCAGCGCCGGTGCTGCTCTTTACGCTGTGAAATCGAGTTTAGCGCTCCGAATAAGGACTGGAGTACGAGTTGTTTCTCCACAAGTCAATAGCCATCGAAGACTTCCTGCTGCGAAAGCCAGCCCCCTCCCCCTCTCCTCGCCTCCCCTCCCTTCTCACTAGACTTTTTTAAGGCCCTATTTCTTGAGGTCTTGAAATTCGGAAACATTTCCCTGTTCAGGCATTTGTGAGACCCAGTCCTGATTATTTGCATCTATTAACTTCCTCTGTCTTTCTCTAGTCATTGAAAAAAAAAAGTTGTTACTTTCTGTCTTCCTCTTTTTCCTCTTCCAGGGTCCCCAGCGTTTATAACCGTGCATGCAAATATTTTTTAAAACTAAAAAAATATTTATTGTTTGGGGACAAGGACACAAGACTTGTTGTATCGCTAGTTGCAACACTCCTCATTTCGTTCCACCCTGCTCCCAACACCTTTACCTGTGGGTCATGAACATGCAGTAACAGAACCAGAGGCTTGGAACAGACCTAATGGTGCCACTTCCTATCACAAAATAGATTCCAAACTATTGGTCAAGCTCAGAAAAAAAAAATTGCTGGGCTGATTGTTTACTTCTCTTCCTTATACTGCAGTATCTTGCGACACAAGGAACAGCTTTTGAGTGTCTAATCTAAATTCCTCTTGCAAGCTTTAAGGAAAGGTACAGTCCATCCAGCTGCAGTGGTTTTACATGCTATTGAGAAATCCCTGGAAAGGTCATGCTCCCATCCCCCCACCCCTTAAAGGCGGAAAGAAAAAAAAAAAGTAGTTCTGGGATCAGCTGGTTGGAACATGGCATGCTTTGTTCATTGATTCTCCTCCACCCAATGAATCCTCCCCAAGCACTTTCTTGGTGCCTGGAGATACAAGATAGGAACTCATGGTCAAAAGGAGGAGACAAACAGGCCTTGGACACTGTGTGATAAACACCACAACAGCATTAAACACAAGGACTTTGGAGATCGCACAGGAGGGACACCTAACACCATCTCAGGGGTATTGGGAAAGCATCCCAATGCTTGGGAATGCATTGGGAAAGCCTGAGGGAGAATAGAAGTTTGACCAAACTGGGAGGTGCAGGTGCATGGGGAACTCATGGCCCAGGAATTAATGCAAAGATGAGAGAAAACAGATTAAAGAGGCTGGATCCTAAAAGCCTTTGTGCCCTGAGAAATTTGGATTCTGTCTGGACACTGTGGGAGGCAGGTGAAAGCTTGTGAAACTGAGATGTGATCACATTTTGGTTTCAGAGAGATCAGGCCAGTATTATTATCTGAAATGGTTTGAGAATGTCAGGTGGTAAACAGTCCCGGTAGGGGGCAGTTACCCCTGTCTGCAGAGGTTTGTGCTGTGAACCCCCACTTCCCCCCCCCCACCCTTGGGGAGGGGAGGGAATGGTATGGTTTGGCTCTGCCCCTAAGAGTGCTAGTTGGTGCTGTTTGTTTCCCAGCACTGTTGTAACACAGTAGCACAGACTTTGTTTAAGCTGATCAAGCTTACTCAGCAAAAAGTTATTGTCTTGCAGTTCTGGAGGCCAGAAGTCCAAGTTCAAGGTTTTGGCAGGTTGGTTCTGAGGCCCTGTTCTAGCCTTTGGTTTCCTGGCAAGCTGTGGCATCCCTTGCTTGTCAGCGCAGCATTGCTGTGATCTCTGCCTTCCTCTTTACTTGGTATTTCCCCTATGTGTGTCTCTCTGTCCAAATTCCCCCTTTCTAAAAAGAGACTAGTTCCTTTGGATTGGAAACTGTCTTAATGACCTCATTTAAACTCGATTATCCTATAACCAAATAATATCCCTGGGGGGTAGGCGGAAGAACCTGAGGAACACAAGTTCCTTGCAACTGAGGAAGGTACTTCCTGAAACTCTTCCCAAATGTCTTGCTGGCTCAGGCTGTCCATTCTCCATGTCTGTGCTCAAAGGCCCCCTCACCAAGGGCTTTCTGACTACTCTACCCAAGTAGCAACAGCCCTTGTGATTCCTGTCCGTGGCTTAAATTTTCTTCATCCCCACTTGACATATTGCACAGAAAAATTTACTTCCTTCTCCCCTGGAGTGGCAACTCCACCAGAGTAGAAGCCTAGCCTCTTTGTTCAGTCCAGAGAGGATAAGGGGATACAATCCTTGGCATGTATACGATGTGTATTGATTAGATTAACGAGTGAGTGAATGGACGCATGAATGAAAAAAAAAAATAGCACAGGTGCCAAGGATTTTTTGGAGAAGGCTACACTCAAGGTTTGAGGTAGAAAAACCCAGTGGGTGAAGAGAAATACACCTTACCACTGACTGCACTGTGGCCTGTCATTCACTGGGAGGAAACTGTTGATCTGTTTGGGAAGATGGCTCACATGGCCATCAATCACTGGCTCCTAGGGAGACCTTTGGACTGAAACAGAGCTTCCAGAGGTGGGCCTCCACCTTTAGCCAAAATCTGAGCTGACACAAAGCCTCACTGAAGGGCCCAGCTTCAAGAGATACATAAGAAAACTGGAGTGGTGGAATTGGGAGTTGGGGGTGAGGAGGAAGGGTGGCATTTACCATTGTGTTCGATACTTTTAGTACATTATCTCAAGCAGGGGTTACTTTCATCACTTTAATAAGGAGGACTTCAAGCCTCACAGAGTTTTAAGAACAGGAAAGCCCTTCAATATAAAAAGAAAAATATGTGGCCACGTTCTCAGAACAAGGAGAAAGAAGGCAGAGTCTGTTAATTTGCGGTCATTGTGGGCAGAAGCCCTCTGTTCTCCGCCATGTTTCCTGCAGGTTGGATAACTTGGATAAGGCTGGTCTGTGCATATGTCAAAGTGATACTACAGATATCACTTCTAAACCATGGGTTTGTTTCTACCTAATAAAATGCAACTCATTCGTATGTTGGTAATAAAAAGAGATTTTTAAACTGATGAAGTTGATATTGTTTCACGGGAGAAGTTGGTCAAAATAAAGATTCCAGGACCCCATCCCAGCAGGTCCTGACTCGGCAGGTTGAGCATGAGGCCTAAGGACATCTACCATCTGTCTATCTATAAAACTTTCTAATGTTGGTTAGATGTTTAGTTAGGCTTGCAAAGCTCCAACCTTGTCTTCAGGTGGATGACTGCTGGGGGTCATCCTCATAGGGATTGTGGGTACCTAGTTTATGCTCTTAATGTCTTGTTGCCCATCCCCCACCACCTCCTGCTGTCAGTAATGTGAATTTTACCCGTTTTTGAAGGTCTGGATCAAATGACATCTCCTTTGTCACGTCTTCCCCCATCCTCCAGGTGGAAAGCGTTCTGGCTCTCTTGCTTCTCCCAAGGCATTTTGCTCTGATCTTCCTTTATGACCTACTCTGGCTGGAGTTACGGGTATTTGTGGTTTCTTGTGGCCTTCTATGTCATGGCAGAGGTTCCCTAGTGAGTCTCCAGTGGCTGTGCAGCGTCATGCACAGAATGAAGTCAACCTTGTAATCGTTTGCTGGTGCTAAACAATAAAAATTAAGTTGTTCACAGTTCTGGGAGCTGGAAATCCAAGGTTAAGGTGTTGGCAGGTCTGGTGGCTTCTGAGGCCTCTCTACTCGGCTTGTTCATGGCTGTCTCCTTGCTGTGTCCTCATGTGGACTTTTCTCTGTGTCTGTGAAACTCTAGTGTCTCTCCTGTGTGTC